ACCGTTGCCATGATGCGAAACAGGCTGGATATTTCGAGTTCCTAAAAACATTGCATTGGCTCACGGCAATTCTGGTGGCCCCAGATGCAGATGGACGTAGAAGCATATGTCAAAAGCTGTCCAGTGTGCGCTACCTAAAAACTCCACACAGGGAAGCCTCTGGGGCTGCTACAACCGGTAGCAGATCCAACCAGACCATGGCAGGATATAGCTATGGATTTCATCGTAGACCTGCCCGAGAGCCGGGGTTATACTCCGTCTACTACCCGTGTACAAACGGAGCTGCAGAGCGGGCAAATGCTGCAATGGAGCGGTACCTCCGCAGCTACGTATCCCACCAACAAACGGAGTGGGTGCAGCTGGTGGTGTTCATGGAGGTGGCGTATAACAATGCTGTACACAGAAATATGGGGTTCACCCCCTTCCAGGTGGTGTATGGTAGGGACTTCCTTCCCATCCTAGGTTGTGGCTCAGAGGATCTCCCGCCATGCAGACCCAGTGAATGGTCAATCTGAGTGAGCAGGTTGTGGGGTGTCATTAAGAAAGCGCTGACCAAGGCCAGGGACATTACTAAAACACAGGCCGACAGTAAGTGGAGGGCCCAGAAACCTTTCCACGTTGGGGAGTTAGTTTATCTGTCGACTAAATACATAAAACTTTGGGTGCCTAGTAAGAAACTAGCACCCAAATACATAGACCCATTCCAGGTTGCACAGGTGATTAACCCAGTGGCTATGTGTCTACACTTGCCTGGGTGGTTACTGCTGAAGCTATTGGGAGAGGTCTCCCATGACCGTACATCCAAGGTCCCAGGGGCCATTAGACAAGACCATTAAAAAATCCAGGAAATCCTTGATTTGCAGTCTAGACGGGGTAGGGTTTATTATCGTGTTCATTGGAAGAGGTATCCGTTGTCAGAGGCATCCTGGGTAAAGGACTCAAATGTCCAGGCGCCTCACCTGATCAAGAAGTACCATCTAAAGTACTCTGGGAGATCAGGAGGGCAGGCAGTAGGCTTGACCACTTACACTGTTCTGCTTACCTTCCAGGAGGATACCTGGTAGAGGGAGCCCCGCAAGGCTGACCCGTCCAGGCCAACGAGCGGCGGGCCATGAGCCCTTGGCGTGTTGCCCCATCATCACCCTGTCACCTTTCTTTTATTTTGCCCTGCCTCCTGGTCCGTTGCCACTGCCCTGGATGCTTGCCTCGCGGGGCCAACACTCATTGGAGAGGAAGCCATCAGCTGGTGTCTTTCATTGCCAGAAGTTGACTGCAGGGCTGCATGACCAACGAGTGCAATGCCTAGAAGGATGCTCTAGGCTCAGCTGCTTCGTGAGCAGAATGAAGCAACCCTGCAAGGCCGCACGACCAATGAGTGCGATGCCTAGAAGGATACTCTAGGCCCAGCTGCTTCTTGAGCAGAATGAAGCAACCCTGCAAGGCGGCACGACCAATGAGTGCCGTGCCTAGAAGGATACTCTAGGCCAGGGGTAGGCAACCCAAAACACTCAAAGAGCCACTTGAACCTGTTTCCCACCAAAAACAAAACACCAGGAGCCGCAAAACCCTTTTGATATCTAAAATGAAGATAACACTGCATATATCCTTTTTTATCTTTATTATAGGTGTGTGTGTGTGTGTGTGTGTGTGTGTGTGTGTGAGAGAGAGAGAGAGAGAGTATTTGTGTATGTGTATGTGTATACACACACACACACACACACACACATTAAAAATAAAAGTAAAAATATGACTCTTGGGAATATCCATACTATTAAAACAATGATCACCGAGAGAATGCTTTAAGAGAATAAAATTACATACACACACAGGTAAAAAAAGGATATATGCAGTGTTATCTTCATTTTAGATGTCAAAAGGGTCTCTCTCTCTGTGTCTCTCTCCCTCCCTCCCTCTCTGCCCTTGGTCTGCCACTCCTCTTCCCCCACTCTCTTTCTTTCTCTCTTTCCTCTCCTCTTTCCCCCTCCCTCTCTCTCTCTCTTTCTCTCTCTCTCTTTCTCCCCCCCCCATCTGCTGCTCACCTGGCAAGCTTCAAGTTGTTCTCCAACAATCTCAGGGGTAGGCAACCTCGTCTCTTTTATGACTCATGGACTTCAACTCCCAGAATTCCTGAGTCAGCCTAGCTGGGCTAGCTAGCTCTCTCCTGCCCTTCCTGCTTCCTGCAGAGACGCAGCAAAGGGAGGAGCTCCGCCCAGAAAGCTTTTCAGCTCCTCAGAGAACAATGTGAGTGCACTCTCTTTTACACATATACACACACGCACACAAAACACACACACACACACACACACACAGAGAGAGAGAGAGAGAGAGAGAAGCAGGGAAGCGCAATTGCCTCTCTCTGTCTCTGTCTCTCTCTGCAAAGGCAGAGGAGGCTGGGAGCCACAGGGGAAGGCTCAAAGAGCCGCATGCGGCTCCGGAGCCGCAGGTTGCCGACCTGTGCTCTAGGCCCAGCTGCTTCGTGAGCAGAACGAAGCAACCCTGCAAGGCAATAGAGTGCAGCCGGATGGGACGAAAGAATGCTGAAGCCCCAGCTGACTCCTGTATAGCATTTGATGCACCAGATGGTGGTCTCAGGGGTGGGGTAGTTAACGAGGATGGGGCTGGTTTCTTGAGGGTGGGGTTTGTGTGTGTAACATATGTAAGGCACTGGGAGCAATCCACTCCCAGGGCTGTCTTTGTTTTGTACGGAGTAAATTAAAAACTACCGTCAGTCTTTCATTTCTGCTTGCCCGCTTGTTCTTTGGAGCACCAGAAAAGGATGCATTGACACAGCTAAAACTTCAAAATGCTCTTCACCAGCAATCCCCTGTAGAGCACATTGTAATAATCCAGTTGAGAGGTCACAAGTATATATTAATTTGTTTGGAAGCCATCCAGATCCATCAAGGAATCAGCCTCAAAACTGGATTAAATACTAAATAGTAAAGAATAGTTGTCACTGCCAAATTAAATGACAATATTTTATAGTCCCAGATACACCCATCATATTCCATGAGAGAGATTACTATTCAAAGATTGCACAAATAGTACTTAATGGTTAACACCTCACTTAAATATAATCAAAAATATTTTATTTCATATATGCTTAATATAAAAATGATTAAACACAAAGAAAAACACACAGTTAATGTTAAAATTAACACATTATAGTTAACTTTAAAATTAAAATAATTGTAACTTTTCATTAGTTTCATTAGACTAGTGCCGCTCCTAGTTTATATAATATTTTCATTTTTATATTTCTTTTGAAGTTATCTATGTATTTTCACTAGATAACTTCTGACCTGTTGGATCATCCTCTTAGAGATATTTCCTTACTGTACCATTTTTCAATGCCTTCAACAATGACAACCTTTAGTGTATTGCCCTCACTGGATGCGGTGGGATACATTCAGGAATGTATATGCCTTGAAAATCATCCATGTTGAACTCTATAGTGTAGTCAAACATCAGCACAGGAAATTATGACATTATGCATTACGTTATAAACTGTTTTATGAGAACATTTACTTCATAAAATATTTTATAAAATTAGTCAAATTTCAATTTCAATAGGTATCATAGATTCCAGATTTTAGATACATTAAGTTATCCCATTTGAGGTACCTTGGTTCAAAAATTGTTATCCTCTGATGAAGAATTTTAGTAGTATATATATCCAGCTTACATTTTTGTGTTTTACTGTATATTCCCCAGAGACGTTCAAGTATTTTTAATGAATTAATTTTAATAAATAAATAAATAAATAAATAAAATGATGCAATGAGGAGTAATTTCCAAATCCAAAGAACAAAATAGTTGTGTTTTACTGGGAAAATGGAGGAACAATGGCAAGTTATAAAGGCAAAATTGGAGCAAGTAGATAGATTTGGGTACCTTAGCAGAAAGTTACTAAAAATGGGATCATTGATGGAGTGTTCAGATCTGCTAGTAGAAAAATAATGAATAGTAATTTATCTTGCAAGAATAAATATTTGTACCCAAAAAAGGGAAAATGACCATTATAGCATGCTTCTGCTCATTTATATAAAAAGCATTTAAAACCTGGGTGTGAGAAAAAGGCAGGATAGGGTTAAGAATTAATGGATATTGAACAATGCACTGAATATGAAATGAAAATTATTAAAAGAAAATACTTCAAGGTGATTTGGGCAAATAGTAAAATGATACACATTGCACAGCAAAACAATAAAAATGAATTAGTTAAATGAAAGAGAAATTAAAAACAAAAGAAAAGGACAATGTACAAAGAAGTCAATGCATGTTATAAAAAAAAGGTTAGTTCACAAGGGCAAAGATATATAGAGATATGAAGAACAGCACTGGTATAAACTACATCAGGTAATCCTCAACTTACAATAGTTCACTTAGTGACTGAAGTTACAACAGAACTGAAAAAAGTGATTTATGATCATTGCAACATCTCCATGGTCATGGGATCAAAATTCAGATGCTCAGCAACTGATTCATATTTATAACAGTTGCAGTGTACCAGAATCATGTGATTACCTTTTACAACCTTCTGACAAGCGAAGTCAATGGGGAAGCCAGATAACTTAACAACTGGGTTATTAACAATTGCAGTGATTCACTTATCAAATGTGACAAGAAAGGTTGTAAAATGGGGCAAAACTCATTCAACAACTGTCTCATTTAGCAACAGAAATTTTGGGGTCAATTGCGGTTATAAATTGAGGACTATATATAATTCAATTTCTTTTCTTATTATATTCTTTTAATTTAACATCCCAAAAATGAGGGATATCCAGCTGCTTCTTCAAAGAAGTTGAGCTGAATAAAATGGAGAAACACAGATGGGACCTCATCTCTGCATGAGCCAGAGAAAGACATAATGCATTTAATATGTGTACATAAGATGATATACTCTACAATTATAAATTTAAGTTAATTATAAAAATGCATATAGACTTCAGCCTATTTTAAATAATTTGGGGGGGTATGTAGTAAATTGCAGTACTCACATCATCAGTCATGAGTGTTGCTATTGATCGACCAATTTCATGATACTGAGGTGCTTTACCTGCTGGTCCCAGCAATAGAAAAAGGAAACTGTGGAATTATGAAAATGGATTGCAAGGTCAAATATTATAGCAGTAATTCAATAATATGTCAATGACAACTAGAATTTTTACTACTGAATAATAGCACATATAACAACAACTAGAAATTATATAGTTGCATTCACAATGCTTTTGACTACAATGAGTATAATGGGTTGGAAATTTCTTAATCCAATGTTACTGGATGGTAATGACACTATACTTTTTCATCTAGAAAATTGTGCCAAACATTTTATGTAATTCACACTGGTCTAATTCATTTTCCCTTCTATTAAATAATATCAATATAGCTATCAGAATTTATCTCAAAATTATTACAAAATTCTATTTTGCCTCTGCTGGCAGGATAAAAGAGGATAAAATTGGCATTCCAATTTTTTAATATCAAAATAAATACTATTTTTGTAATATATTGTCTCATTTTAATATGTATTTGAAACATCTTAGAAGATAATTTGCCTTAAAATGGGAGTTGCAAAATATGAGCCAAACTGATTATTACTAGACATGATGATTGTCACAATCAAATATTCATACTCAAATCTCAAAAGCTACCATGGAAACTTGGACAGCAATTAGTCAGTGAAGATTTTGACACTGAGATAGCATAGCACTAGGAGAGGACTAACCCAGATCTATTTAATTTAGTGTCTGATCCAGTACAATGCCCCTTTGGCTTTAATGTCCCAAGGAAAATCTGGACAGTGCTCAGCCAGATTTGAATCAACTGTGGCAGGTACCAATATTGGAAATATAAATGAGAGCTGGTTGATAATCCTGACTATAACTATGGAAACATCCCACAAACTTTACATGATATTGTGATGGAATGTCTCCTCAGAAGGTTCTCTGGATCCCTGCATGAAATATATCTTCTTGAGGGCAATATTTCTCAATGACTAAACATCTTAGATCAGGGCTTTTCAACCTTTCATCCATTGTACTATGTTTAGGATATGGCAACATCCGAGTACCATCAGTCGCCTAGCAAGGTGTCAAAAACTTGATGACCAAAAAAAAAAAAAAAAAAAGGGAAAAAGTGATAAAGTACAGGTAGTCCTCGACTTACAACAATTCGCTTAGTGACTGTTCAAAGGTACAATGGCACTGAAAAAAGTGCCCCCCAAGACACCTGCCTGCCCGCCCAGCGGCGTTCTTCCTCCTGTCTAAGGCTTTCATTGTTGTAAGCATTTCTGTTGAGAATTGGCAGCGGGGATGGGGTGGGGTGTTTGGTTTTTATTCCCCTCGTCTGCTGGGTGATTGCAACAGGATTTGGTTGCTTCACATGACCCTGGGACACTGTGACCGTCATAAATATGAATCAGTTGCCAAGCATGTGAATGTAAATCCCAAGATCCTGGAGATGCTGCAACATTCCAGCTGATCAGCACTTCTTCTGGGCTCAGCAGAAGCACCAGGATCAGTGCTGCTTTCCAGCTGATTGGTGCTTCTTCGGGGCTCAGCAGAAGTGCCAGGATCAGTGCTGCTTTCCAGCTGGAGCCTGGCACTAATCTTGGCGCTTCCACTGAGCCCTGACAGCCCTGAAGAAGCGCCAATTAGCTGGAGTCTGGCGCTGATCTTGGCACTTCCACTGAGCCCTGACAGCCTTGCAGCTCCAGCCATCTCTCGCTCAGGCTTGTGTGGTGCTGCCACCGGTTCAGCTCGTTCCCCTCCCCCGCTACCACTTTTCTAGGATGGTCGCAAACCACCTGCCAGGTGCCAATGTACCACAGGTGGTTGCCGTACCACTGGTTGAAAAGCCCTGTCTTAGATATCTGGCCCTAGGAGTAGCCACCCTAGTACCTGCTCATACATAATTTAATTTTATTCATAATTTAATCATCACTTATGTTGTATTTTTAAATTGGTTCACTGCTCTGATGTTTTATATTTTGACACACATTTCGTATGTTGTTTTGGTGAATGTTTATACATTATGCTGTATTCTGTTATGCCATACAAAATACTAATAATAATCTGAAAGTTATTTTAAGTTTAATTTTCTGCATTTGCCACTAAAGAAAACTCAAATATTAAGAGTAAGTATGAACTATGAAGTTAAAGAGATTTTAAACCAACATAAGAGAAAATCTGCATACAAGATATTAAACCAGCATGATAAACCTACAACAAAGAGACAGCAGCCTCTTTTTTCTTTCTAAGAAAAAAAAATTGCATCACATAATATATATTAAAAATAATATAGAGAGTTTTATTACATTATATTTTTATTTTACCGTGTAGGAACAGGAACCTCTGTGAGACCAGTGAGAAGCACAGCCGGAGACAGTCTCACAAAAGCAATAATTGGTCTCTCCAAAAAAGCCACTTCTCCAACAAGCACATTTGATGCCTCTGCACCTATTGGAATCTTCCTCATAAAGTTCATATCCACCTATTTTCAAAGAATGGTTAATAGTATATTAATGTATTCTAAAGCATTTTGAAACTGACATTTACAAATAAGTAACAGGTTGCAAGCAAAATATATTGTATTATTACAGCGTGATGTATGTTATGAAGTTTAATAACAATTTAATTTAACCATACATACAAATACTGTGTTTCATAATTATGTCAAAATATACAATCACAAAAACTCACTAAAATTATATCTTGGGAATAAAATTGTTTTATATTAAATAACTACAAATTCCACTAAATCAAGGTAATTATATACACAATTGCTTCATTTTATAAATTCAATATAAAAAATATTTATGGAGAATTAATTCTTTATATAGTAGTGTTGTTCAAATTACCCATGGGAACTGTGTATATAATTATAAAAATTCACCAGCATTATAGCATTGTACAAACTATTGGCTCACATGAAGACAGAAACACAAAAATCACTGAAACCAACACACCAGTTACACAGCTATCTAGGAAAAAAAAACCACTTACAGCTGGCCTCTTGAGTCCCACACCAAGTGTGCCACAACTACAGTGCCAGGAGGCAGAATCCTGCCCAACAGGAGACAAGGCAGGTGCAGAGAAGAACAGGCCAAGTAAAAATATAAAAACTGTGACAGAGGAGCTAGAATAATGGCATTTGCCATGATTAAACTGTTATATATATTTGTTTTGTTAAGAGAACTTTTAAGTAAAATTACATCATTTTTCTGAATTATATATTGGAACCAAAACATTGAAAGGAGCAATACTATATTGTAAATTATACAAATAATAACTTTATTACAGATTAGCATTATTTACACTAAAGCAGCGGTCCCCAACCTTTTTGGCACTAGGGACCAATTTCGTGGAAAACAATTTTTCCACAAATGAGGGGTAATGCTTTCAGTTTTGTTCACTCGCCTGCTACTCAACTCCAGCTGTGCGGCCCAATTCCTAACAGGCCACAGACCTGGAGTACCTCCAATACTTCAAGGGTTGGAGACCTCTGCACTAGAGGAAGCAATTCTGTGTAAATAATTCAATAAAAAGGGGAACATATGGATTTTAATTCTGTATTGGGCCTTCAATCTACAATAGTCTAAACTCTGAGGTTCTACCCCACTTATAGTTCTAAATGCACTTTATTCCTATTATACCTGGAAATCACACTGTTACCTGAGGTAGTCCATTCAGGATTCTGTATGTACATCTAAAATGGGCCCATGTCTATGCTACAGCAGAGTTTTAATGACATGATAAGGACTCTTCTATAAATCTTATAGCCCACTATCCTGAATGTAAAAATAAATGATCTTAGTATTACACAAGCATATGCAGGTAGTCCTTGACTTACAAATATTCATTCAGCAACTGTTTGAAATAACAATGGCACTGAATGAAGGGACATATAACCAGTGCTAAATTATGGTGTTGCTATGCCTCCATAGCCATATAATCGTGATCTGGGCTCTTGGCAACCCATTCGCATTTACAATGGGTTACCAAGCCCTCTGCAATCGTGTGATCACTGTTTGCAAATCATCAGGGAAGCTGACAGCGGTAGGTGACAAGCTGCTTTCTTTTTCTCTAGCCCAGGGGCAGCAGGGCAGCAGCATGCTATATAGTACACCTCCTATTTGTCCTGTTCCAGGCTAGAGAAAAAGATCTTCTAATTTTCTAGCTCATGCCAAGGAGTAGAGCAGCTGCCTACCCTTTTTCAGAAGCAGTTCTCTCTCTCTGTTCAACCTACTTATGTGATTGCTTAGTAGCCACATTTGAGATGGTCAGGACAGCGGCTATTGAGGAAGGTGATCACATGGATGCCTTGCTTAATGACTGCAACATTTTACAACTGTAATGAGCAGACTCTATTACAGTCATAATTTGAGGGCTATCTATATAATAACAATTTTATTATGCATCAGAATATGCCTGGACATGAATGTATTTCTCTAGAAATTAAATATATATATAAATATAATGAATCTTTAAAATAGAAAACAATTTACTACCACTAATTATTAACAGCAGTACTGAATATATCACAGTATTTGAAAAAGCATTTGAAAAGTGTTGTTTTAACCTGGAAATCTTACGAAATCTGATAGGAATACTTTCAATTAACAGGGTGCAAATGAGGTGAGTGTGATTTATTCGCATCATAAATGTTTTATTATAATTTATCCTCTAGTAAGCCACCATGAATTTGCATGATTTGATAGCATAGGTATTTAATTAATAACAGCAACAATAGCACAAGATCAATGCATACATTTCTACAATTTATCTCAATTCACATTTGTTGCCCACCCTAATTATGCCCCTCACATGGTAATCAGGAAAAAAGGAAGCTGCAGCATAAAAGAAAACATAGTAAACCTCAATTCTGCAAAATGAGTTGTGCTTGTGCTGTTGCTTTTAACTATTATGGCTACTGAACAACAATATTAAATGAAATACTATTAAAATAGCAAATTATCTTGAAAGACATTTATAATCTTTTACAAGATGGAATTTTTAAACTAGAGCTTTTATGAAGTGCCACATAACCATTTTATCAATTTATTTGTGATATATCGAGCCTTCAGTTTAATGCTTCAAGGCAGTATACTAGCATTCCTTCCATTATTTTCTCCAAAACAACCTAGAGAGATAGTTTGGCTTGAAAGGGTATAACTGATCAAAAATCACCCACTGAACTTCCATGGTTGAGGGTAGACTATTCAGAGTGCACTGAATGCTAATTCAGGATTTCTACCCAGTCAGACTTCAGATCTTTAACCCTTTTTTTCCACACCGTTACTGTCTCTGAAGAGGAACCTTAGAGACCGCTGCATGTCTAGTTACCACAGAGGTGGATTCTTCTCTATATTGCTACTGGCCCATTCTAGTAAGTCAACCACATCAGTCTGGAATCTTCCACTCACCAACCTAACCCTGACTCTACCTTCCTCTCCATCCTCTTTCCTCTTTCATGTATCCCACTGAACTCAATAGATTCTCAGCTTACAATGAATAAAATAAAATGACAGTTTAAGAAATTATATAGAATTTATCACATATGTGATAAATAAAATAACATAACATAATAATAAAAGTGGCATAGCCTGTGTATGTAAGTATGTACAAATGTTAGTCTTGAATCTTGGTGATTTACTTGGACAAGCTCTTGAAGTTTTCTTAGCAATATTTTCAGAAATGTTTTAAAGTGATTAATCCAAAATTATACAGTTGCCTTCATACTTAAAGTGGAGCTAGAACAGTGGTTCTCAACCTTTCTAATGCCGTGACCCCATAATACAGTTCCCCATGTTGTGGTGACCCCCAACCATTTATACATCACCGGGTGCCAGGGTCGTGGTCAAAGAAAAGGGGAAAAAATGGCGGACAGCCTTGTTTGGCGACCCCCATGAAATGGTTGTTCGACCCCAAATGGGGTCCCGACCCACAGGTTGAGAACCACTGAACTAGAACTTAATCCCCTGATTTTTGGTGTTTTTAAGCACTATACCAAAGTGTCCCTAACTGATCCTTTATTTTCAGGTAATTATTAAAATATATCTGTAGTTGTACTTCATTTATTCTAGAACTTTATTTTAGAGATTATATTATATAATACAAGTACAAACAAGATTCTGAAGAGAAAAGCAAGCTTCCATAAAATGCACTAAGCTGTGTGTTCTCTAAAAGCTTAAAAACTTTACCTTGCTGAAGTCAACGGTACTGTTTTCTCTACTCCCTCCTGTTCCACTAATTTTAAATTCTCCACTTTTTCCAATATCCAAATTACCAGGTGCAGATTGTGGTGATGCTAAGAGCCCTACAATTAGAATAAAGAAGCGTATTTAAAATTACATTGCTTAGAAATAGGCATAGTTACATAACAACAATGACAGCTTTCTATAAGCAAATGTGAAAGTTAATAAACAAAAAGTGCATTAGTACCAAAATTGCCAAACAAGTTATTTTTTCTGGAAAACAATGAAAGCTTATTAAGTGTTAAAATTAGCTATTACCTAAATGATGGCCTTTTGCAAAATTCACCAAAAAGGTATTATTTTTAAATTTTAAAATGTGCATCTAACCACCAATATGGATCATATAATTATAAAAATGTCATATTTTACTAGAATTCCCTGGAACAATCATAAAATAAAGGAAAATGTACCTTAGAATACTTAAATAAATCTATATGGCAGTGAACCATTAGAAAGTTAGCAATCATCCATTAGTGCAGCCCTAAAGCAAGAAAACTTTTTAAAGTAGGATCTGAGCCACGATCCAAACAATTCATTTATCCATAAGTAAAGATTCCTAAGTTTGAATTAGGGGTAGGTTATTGTTTTACTCTTTATATTAGGGTTTTATATTTTGTAAGCCATGTAGAGTCATGGAAAGTGAGTGGGTGGCCATATAAACTCCCTAAATAAACAACCCAAAAAAATATTCTTATAATGATAAGCAATACATAAAATTCCATTTAAATGATTGCTTACTTTTTATTTTAGTTTTACTTATTTGTATCCTGCCTTTATTATTTTTATAAATAACTCAGAGAACATATCCAACACATCTTCCTCCTCCTATTTCCCCACAACAACAACCGATAAGGTGAGTTGGGTCTAAAGAGAGTGACTGCCCAAGGTCACCCAGCTGGCTTTCATGGCCAAAATAGGAAAATATGTACATTATCCTGAAAGCAGAATGTTGCAGAAGACCCCAAAATATTCTGTTTCTCCTCTGGACCCTACCATTCTAGCCAAATATTAGTTTTTGTACATGTTTAGAAATGTAAACTGTAGGTTAATCTTCAAGAGGAAAATTATTCATTATATTCAATATATCAGTCTTGTGTAACAAATCCATGATGTAATTGTTTTACACATCAGAATGAAAAACATGACAAACTTTTTATCATTTAAAATAGGAGTAGGAAATCTGTAGTTTTTCATATATTGTTCAGTTACAATGCCCAGGAGCTGTGGCCAATATGGCCAATGCTAGATATGAGAAATATAGTTCAACATCTAAAGGCCAAGAAGACTCAAGCCTAGCAGAGGCCAATATGTAATATGAACACATGTAATTTTGAGGTGATGAACTGAATATATTAGAATATAAAACTTTGTGAAATCATGACGTCCTAAAAAAGTAAATGAATTTATTTGATCCCCTCCTATGAATAAAACTGTTAGATTGCGCTTTAGTCTGGCTTCTGTTGTCAAGAGTACTTGTTCTGCCTGAATAGATCCAAGAGGCCTCCAATGTTAGATGACTGGACCAGTGTCAACAGCTCAGAGAATACTCACACATTCAGACAGAGAAAGAGCAAGTACCACCATAGTACTGATACATACCTTTTAAAAAAGTATAAAATGAATATATACAGTCTCAGCTATCTACTTTAGTGTGTTTCAGACTTGATTTTAGAATTAATATTCTTGGTAAATGAATTATAGCAGAGATGGAATAGAATCTACTGAAATTCTGTAATACCGTTGTAATGCTGCCTTGACCTCTTAAAAGGAAATATGAGATATTATCTAACAAGTAAATAAATAGCAATTGATCTGGAAAGGAATTTATCAAGGCTCATAAACATTTTAATTCCATCACACTCAAATTACTAAAATAAGCTTCACCTTATTCAGTACTACAGTAGTTGGTACTCTATTACTTTATGAATGGCACTACTTTCTGCCCTGTTTTCAAACCCATTTCTAGGTAATAGCTGTTTTTTTCACATAACAAAGGTATATAATCTATTAAAGACAGAATATTAAAATATATCTTTCTTGCCACTACAATTAACACTCTTAAGGAAAGCAAGTAGTCCTTGACTTATGACCATAATTAGCCCAAAATTTCTGTTAAGTGAGACATTTGTTAAGTGAGTTTTGCCCCATTTTAGACATACTTTTCCATAGCAGTTACTAGAAACCTCAAAGCCCAAATGAATGTGAAACATTAAATGTCTCAAATGATAACACTCATTCAAGATAAAACAAAAATCAAAGAGCAAAAGAAAAAAAAGTGAAGTTTCTTTGTTATCTTAATATGCTTGAGAATCTATTAGCAAATAAATAGCAAGAACACAATCAAACTTCAAGTACATGTATAAACCTTAAATCAACTTTATAAAGCATATCATAGGAAATGTGAAACAGAGATGCAATTTCAAGCACTTAAAGGCATACAAGTGGTAATCAAGTCTTCCTATTAATTCCTGGTGCATGGGTTTGACAGGTTTCACCATGATATAAGTAGTACTTGTCATGCAGCAACCAAACATCCTGGTGTAAACAGAGAGAAATGCATATACCATATAAAGATTTCCTCTGTCCAGTCGTGTCCAACTCTAGGGGGCAGTGCTCATCTCCATTTCAGATGAGAGAGCCAGCATTGTTCAAAGATACTTCTGTGCTCATGTGGCCAGCATTACATGCTAAGGCACATGGAATGCTTTACGTTCCCACCAAAGTGGTACCTATTTATCCACTTGCATTTGCATGCTCTCAAACAGCTAAGTTGGCAGGAGTTGAGGCAAGTAATAGAACCTAACCCTGTCACCCAGCACCGGATCTCAACTTTGGGCTGTCAGCTTTCAAGCTGACAAGCTCAGCACCTTTAACCACTGAGCCATTGTGCTTCATAAATCACATATGGTTCTCTAAATATCACATTACTATAAGAGAAAAATCTTATATTAATCTCATTGTATCCCATGCTAAAATCAGATAGCACTATAAGTGTACGATAAGTGAATATGTAAAACAGGAAATATATGCATATAGATCTCTATCTATAATCACAATGGAGTCTGCCCACTACAGTTGTAAGTCATGACAGTTGTAAAATGGGTCACCCACATGATCACCCTGATTTTATTACATTTTTATGGCAGTCATTAAGCAAACACTGTGGTCATTAGATGAACCAATTGTTTGTTGTGGACTGATTTTGCTAAAACCAGAAATAAATGCTAGTTTTCAGCAAAATTCTACAAAATCATGTTATCTAACTGTGAAATTCTGCAAAAGCTGTAAATGTGAGCTGTGCACCTGGAATGAAGTCATGTGACCACAGGGGCATCAAACTTCAAAACCAGGTTATAAATAACCCTAGAAAAGTCTATCATAATTTCAAACAGCTGCCAAACAACTAGTCAACATGTCAATATGTGAGCATGCATGTATGTGTATGTTAAAGATTGGGAAAATAATTCAGTATCAATTAAATTTTTTTTGTAGATTTGTGGAAATCTATTTCTGGTTGAAATACAATTGCAATGTAATTATTATGAAAATGCATACTCTAATCTGCTCAAAAGATGTATAAACTGTTTCCTGTTCCTGTTTCCTTCTTCTTTAGCAATTTTAAACAACTTTTATTACTTCATTATTCCTACATGATTTTTATAGCCTAATTATAATCATAACAAGAACAATGTTCATCTTTCAAAGCTATTCTGAAGGCTTCTTTAGCTAAAAGATAAAATGTTTTATATAACTAAAGAAATGGAAGAAAAGGATAACTTGAAACTGAATCAATGATTATAGTTAGATAGTCACATTTTAGCCAGAGTATTACTCTCTGGTGCTAACAAATATGTATGCATAAAAAGTATAGGAATCCAAGAAAGAAGCATCCTGCAAGAATTTTCCGTACCATATTCATACTACAAGAGTTGGGTCATCCCACAGTTTATTTTTAGTGCCCAAGTAGGCTTGCAGGGTTTTCTTTCTATTTAAATATCTCTTTAATTGTTGTATTGCATAGTATAAAATATTCTGTATTCCCATTCAAAGTCTCATGTAATGCCAAAAGTAGCATTTTGTACTATTGCAATACTGAAATTAGGTAGAAACTTAACAACAGAGAGCATGATATTCGGGTTTTTAGTGTATCTTTCTTATGGGAATTAGAAGTTTTGAAAATAAGGAAAAGGCCACCATTTTGTAGTTTACAAATGTGTAACTTATTCCCCTCCTCGCCCCCCCACACCTTTTTTGTCTTTTAAAGTAGGAGCAGTTGCTGAATGAATTCATTTTGTTAAGAAACAAAAAAGTATGGAGAAATGTTCACACATGTAATTGCTTTCAATGTATTAATATTTATGTTAATATTAAGGATCAAATCTTTTATCTATTTCAAAATACCAAATAAAGTTTTCCAAGAAAGTATCACACAAAAATAATGAGGCATGCAAACAAATAGCAGACTGATGTACAATTTATGGGTGCTAAAGCTGTGTGATTAAAATTTTTGCAGTGGGAGTGATTCAGCTGCAGAAAGCACCACACATGGATAATTTGAGTTCAAATAGTTGCCTGGTGTTATGTCACTATTTTCCTCTGTCCTCTTCTTGCTTTCCTGAGCTTCTAAATCTTCCTCAGGTGGATGAATTATTACTTTAGGGATATCATCATTAGAAGGAGACACTTCATGCTCGGTTGACTGGAAATTTGTGGTTCCCTTGGAATCACACCTAGGACTGGAAGGTGGAGTGCTTTGTGGGGTAGGTAAAGGGGTTGTGCTCCTTGAGGCTGTTGGAGATCCAGGAAGAAGGTAATTGAGTAGAAGGGACAAACGATTCTCTCCTCTCAGGGAAATATTTGAGGCAGAGAGACCTGCTCGTAAAGAATGGCGGGAGGCTGAAAGGCCTTCCCCTGAGATAAAACAAATAAAGTGAGGAAAATATTCAGTAGAAACATGAAATCATATCATCTGATACTATAAAAGATTTTAAAGGCATAATTTCATAGATGATAAGGTGAGATAAGTAAAATATTGAGGGCTAAGCAGAATTTTAGATGTTAAAAAAGTCAGCATATATTTCCACATAATTAACATTCAAAAGGCATATATAGATATATATAAAATTCATGATTACTTCAGTTCAAAAGGTTTGAAGAAAATGTCAGCACTGTATAAACCATTCACAGGGTTGATTTATGAATGGAATTAATCCTCCCCCAAATCACTAAATGTTCATGGTTTTTCAGCCCTAACCAGAATGCTATGCTTATAATAGAAATCTATTTATTTTGAATATGCAATAAAATATTAAGATCCTTTCTTAATGCAAACTTCAGAAAATATGCAGTAAACAAAAACATGCATGTCTACCTGAATAAGTAATAAATTGATAACCAGTACTCTTATTACAACTATAAAAATGCATATGACAGTTCCAGACAGATGTAACCCCAGAGAAAGGAGAAATATTTAGATGAGCATCTTTTAAAGACCTGCATTTATTATTAGTTTCTAACTATAATGAACAATTCACTAGAAAGCAATCCAATTTCTGGTTAGCAATTTAGATCTTTAGACAGTTTACACCCAATTAAGCAACCCGAGAAAAGTAAATTCTTCAAAAGCCAACAGATTTGCAGCAATCGGAATGAAAAATTCAGACAACACAGTTAAAATGAAAATTACCTGAAAGGATGAAAGACTTCCAGAATATCAGAAACTACTCCAAATATGACAGGGACAGAGGGAGGAGCAATCAGTGAATAAGGGAGATACAACCTGTATATCCTATATTATATTTCTATAATAAATCATATACCTGACATATATAATATTCACAACTGCAAAACCAGGATGTCTTTTTAGGCAAAAAAAATTTTTTTCTTCCAAGTTTGACTCTTTAATTAGTATTAAAGGAAAGCTAACTTTTATATTTGCATTAACAAAAATCTGATTTTACTGAAAATATTGACAGGAAGATGCAGAAAACAAGGAGAAATAGACATCACATATGTAACAAAATAGCCATAGCTTTGCTTTTACACATATCATGGTTTAAGGTACTAGAAAGACAAAACTATAAAATGAGTTCAGTGATAACAATCATTTGCCCTAAACTTTCTGAGTTCAAAAGATAATTTTGTATAACAAAATATAATTTTGTTTTCTGCACAACTGTTTTTACAATTATTACCTGCTGGGGAAAAATTCTGATCTTATTTTTTGCACGTGCTGACTTTTCTCACATCTCTGCATTATATTATTAAACAATAAAACAATTGGTTGCCACAACTTATCTCACCATTTCTTTCAAGCAAGAGAGGGTCAGAATGTTTCTTGCCTATATCTGCAAAGGATCGGACGAGGGGAATCCGATTACTAAACTTTTTTTCATTCTGATGATGATGTCTTTTCAGAAGGGCTTCTCTGACATTTTCTCTCATTGATTCATCAAGGTGGCCAGAAGCTATCATGTTATCCAATACCATGTCTACAAAGGAAAAATGAAATTTAAAATAAATATGAAAGATTGATATAATGGAGAGACATCTTCAACCCTTGGATATGTAGGAAATGTTTAATAAGACAGTATTAAAGTGTTTAGGACTAAATTGTACCAAAAATGGCATATACTTATGATTCTCTGTATTATCCAGCTGCGGGAATTTTGTAGACATAGATTCTCCTTAGGGAATTTATTGTGTTTTCGAATTTTTAGGAAGTGTAGAGAGAAAAAATAATAAAGAAAAAATATCCTACATAATTCCACAGTGCTACATCTACCCACTGCTGGCTGCTTGCCAAAATTATTTTTCTCATTCAGAGCTATTCATAGGAAAAATAATCACCAACTTCATTCTTGTTCTAGAAAATCTTTTTCTAGCCTAGGTGCCCTCTAGATGTTTAGAGTTCAATTCCCAGAATTTTCAGCAATAGTTAAGCTACTTCAAGAATTTAATCCACCCATCTGGAGCAAATCCAAATCAAAGAAAGCTACTTTGGATCATAATCATTGGTATAAACCTAAAAATATTAGCTTAGTAGTGGTCTGTTAGACTTGACAGTCACTAGAGGAATGAGTGTGTGCTAGGTTAAAAAAATATGATTTGAAAAAAGGAAGGCTTCTATCCTAAAAAAAACTATCTTTAAAGCCATGAAAAAGATGGTGAAATACAAATGTCTGTCTTAATTCATACCCTGCTGGGCTGCAACTAATAGGATTTTTAATTACCATTGCAATATTGTCAATGAACTCCAAACTAGAGCACATAATTCCTTTATGATTTTTTGAAACCATAAGACACAAATATATTTTAATTACTTTACAAAACATATAAAACACATTAAAAGAAAATCTTAAGTAAAATGTATATGACCTGCTATTTCATCCAGCGAATTGGCTCTCATATCTAACATGACCGTTCCATTTAAAATGCAACTTCTCAATTCAAATAAACTATGAAGAGACAGGGTAGCCACGTAAGGTTTGCTCCATCGCTCACCACCATCTTCAACATCTTCTTCAAACTTTAGCCATCTGCAATATACATAAGTATAATGAACAATAAATATGATCTATTCTTTTTCAGGTATAGGATACTTGTTTTTAAAGAAACTTACAGAGATCTATATTTGTCTATGCAGAACTAAAGTCCACACTTCAGTGGGACCAAGTGTAGGATTCCACTTTCATTTTAGCTTTTTCAATGTTGCAAAATAACAGTGATTTTACAAAAATGTGAAAAAACCCAGCTTAGACAAAACGGTAATATTTATAGCCAGAAGAAATATGCTTAAGAGTTTTGAAGCTTCGGTTACTTAATCACCTTCAAATATTCAAAATGTATGCCATTTCTCTTGATTATAAATAAGAAGCAAAAAGAATTATCTTCCAAGTTACCTGGCAGTTTCTTTCCATTCATATTCTTCTCCTTCCCTAAAACAAAGTTCATCCATTTCAGTAAAAAGATCATGTGGAATGTGTTCTTCATCATCATCCTCTATACCAAGGATAAATTGCACTCTCTGGGATGGTGTGTCTTAATGAAAATTGAATTTGAGACACTTATTAAGTACATATCCACATTTGTATCCATATCAACACTGCTAATCATAAATTTATTTGTGAAAGAATGAGACAGAAAAACAGCAAATAAAAAGGCTATAGATATTGTTCTTATAAAACTATCATTAACAGTATTGCTAGATGTTTAGTTGCTCAGATCTCAATATAATGGTAAATTATAATTCTGTAAAATGAATTACATATTATAAAAAACTAATTAAAAATTAATCAAACTATGACAAAACACAGTTCATACGCAGGTTCAGTTCATGGATTTGTCTGCCCAAGTAGGTGACCTTATGAACAGAAATTGCTAATGCAAGCAGACATACTGCATACTCATAAAACCTTATATTCATGAACTGTATGGAAATTAGGTCTTAGGCACAAACACTTTCTGGATTTGCTCACAATAAACCAAATAATAATTTGATTGTGAATGAGACATATGACTGGGAAATTTCCTTTTTTCTTCATACTTTATTTTTAACATAAACCATATTTTGTTGGCTTAGCTAAAATAATGAACTGAATCAGTGCATTTTATTTAAAAATGTTAAAGGCAAAAATACTGCAATAAATGATATATTCATGCAACATATTAAATTTGACAAAATACAGAATATTTGTAAAGCTTACTATTCTTAACTAGCATGTGGACTAGACATAAACCACTACTACAAGGATAAAAAACTTATTATGTTATAAAATGTTATTGTAATATTATAAAATAGATAAGAATCATATTCAAGAAATTATATTTAAATCATTTAAAGACAGAATGCACAAATGTCATTTGTAAATGATAATAAATTGTAGTGTTTTTATATATTATGAATTGTAGCTAAAAGCACCGGTATTTTAAAATACCAATAGATCAGTCAGTAGCATGAAAATAGAGCCTCCCATATTTCAATATATACAGATTGCTTCTAAAGGCTGTTTTTTTATGGCAAGGGTCTTTTTTATTTTTTTGTTTTCTCAAAATAAAAAAGGCTGTGTCTTGCCACTATTACAGTCTAAAGCAAGCATAATACAATATTGATTATTGTATTATGATCGTTTTAGACCATAATAATCATGTTTTCCCCAAGTCAGGCACTTAGCCTCAATCTTAAAGACTCTTCTGTTTTCTTTTAAAAGTCTCCAATTATTGCCACTGGTCCCTCACAGCCTTTTTCCTGTATCTTTATATCTTTCTTTCCATTGTCTGGGGAGCACAATGAAATGAAGTCAAGAAAATTATGAATGGGAAAGAGGTAGAAAGAAAAATAGGGGAACCCCAAGAAGTGGAAATCAAAAGTCTGTCTTGTAAAGGGGACCAACTTTCTCTGATTAGTCTGCTTTTGAGATAGAGCTTGTCTTATGGGCAGCTATTTCCCTGAAAAAGCAATAATGAAATTCTGACAGTCTGTTCCAGGAAGACATACCATATTATACACCATAAATTTAGGAAAACTAGAAAAGTCATTTTTAACTGAATTACATTAATTTCTATTTTTTACTTTTATTTATTAAATTTTGCTGCCCATCTTGTTACAAGACATACCACAAATTGGTATGCTACCAGACAATCGTGGACCCATTTTAGATTAATTATAAATGTAAAATGTTAATAAAGTTCTTACCATAAGAAGGCGATTCCCGCCCATCTTCTCTATCAGTCTCCTTTTCTTTTCTTCGTCTATGACGTTTATGACCATGGTGTCTATGACGTCGTCGACCCTGTTTTCCAAAGGGGACGTGCACACCAATATACACAGCTCTATGACCTTAACCAAAACAGTATTCAATATATTAGAAATGTAAAAAGAATTAAATTGTCCCTCAAAATGAGGAAAAACACAGAGCATACTACAGGCTTGTAAAACAGGTTTGATTTGCTGGATATCCATGGTTGAAAAGAAGATGAAACAACAGGGAACAAAAATTATTTACTGGATCTGCTAGTTTAGGATTATTTAACTTTTTTACCTTAAGGATTTAAAGGCACAAATGAAAATGTGGCCCAAATGTTTCATATTGTAATTCATTTTTTTATGATTAGAAATAAAACATGATTTTTTTTCTAATGAAAATTCAGTGTCTCTTCTCCTTTGTTTATTTTTATATTTCATATTTCTGAATTGCCTGTCTCCCTCAAACAGGGACTCTGGGTGCTGTATAGTAAAGCATCAAAATATAAAATGGAATGTAAAAATTAAAATGTTAAAATTAAAATTTAAAAATTATTTAAAAATTTAAGGAGGCAAGAATAATTCAACTCTGTTAAAAATTAGTTGACGAAGGCAAAGGGATGGTTCTCAAGGTACCAACCAACTCCACTAAATGGTCTTTTGGGCTCCCCATTCAGGACCACATGTTTTAACCCCCTTTTCAGAAGGCCAGGAATTTGGGGGTTGCCTCACCTCTGCGAGAAGAATATTCCATAGGGCAAGAGCAATGGCTGGAAAAGCTCTCTTCCCTAGACCCCCATAATTCTTTAACTGAGGGGTTCTGCAATATACCTGTCTGCTTGATGGGGTGGGATGGATTAATGTGATGACACGAAGCAAGTTCTATATGTAGCCAATGCCATGTAGAGCTTTATAGGTCATAATCAACACACTGAATTGGACCCAAAAGCAAACTGGCACCCAGTGTAGTTTGTGGAGCAGAGGTGTTATATGTGCACTCAATATAGCTCATGGAATGGCACTTTGCGCCAGCTAAAGTTTCCAGATGCTTTCAAGGGTAGCCCCATGTAGCATATGTTGTAGTAGTTTCAAATGGCCGATGACTAAGGCATGAGTGAGTGAGTGGAAAGCCTCCCTATCCAGGAAAGAGTGTAACTGACACACAGCATGAAATTGAGCAAAAGCCCTCCTAACCATGATCACACTTGCTGTTCGAGCAGGAGCCTTGACTCCAAGAGGACCACCAGATTAAGCATCAGATCTGTCTGGGGTACTGTAAATCCATTCAAACCAAAGATGATAAACTCCTGGATACAGAGGGACTCTCTCATAGCCATTCCATCATATCAGAGTTAGCTGAAGTCTGTTGTTCCTTTTTCAGCCTCCAGATACTATGAAAGAACATCCACTACATCACTCACTTCACCCAGGATGAAGATATATAAAGGCATCTATATGAAACTACTAGGTGAGATACTCCATCATTACCAGATGAGGTATCACTAGTATGCTAATGATACCTTATCTAGTAATGATGGAGTATCTCACCTAGTAGTTTCATATAGATATTAAAAAGAAGCAGAGAAACCATCGAACCTGTGGCCCCTCCAAAGTGGGTGCTGTGACTGGACCTCTCGCTTACTATTAACTTCAACTTGGATCAGTCTCAGACGAAGAGGTGAATCAGTATAAAACTATGCAATTACCCCAACTCCCTAAGTCAGCCCAAAAGATAACAAAGCCACCAAGAAGTCAAGAAGAGCAAGGAGGCATCACTACCTCCATCCTGTTGCTGCCAGAGATCATCCAGGAGTAAAACTAATGCAGTTTTGATCCCATGTCCAGCCCTGAACCCTGACTGGAAAGTGTCCAAATAATCCATTTCCTTCAGGATCTTCTGGATTTGCAATGCCATCACCTTCTCAACCATCTTTCCCAAAAAGGGGAGATGGGAGACAGAACAAAAATTGACCAGAATGTTAAGGTCCAGGAATAGCTTCTTAAGTAGGAGGCACACCAGGAGTCAGATTTAATTGACAGCTGGATTAAGTGCCTGGAGACTATGATTTATTGATGAGCCTAAGTGGGAAGTTTGAGTATCCATTCATAATCCTACTGTTACCATCAAGGGATCAAGGGGCACACTGGCTCTAAGGGTTCTCATATTAATCAAGTTACCAATATCTTCCTGTAATATTAGTACCAACTAGTAACTCAGATAGACTATAGACACAGCCTTCAGTCCCATGCCCAAATCCTAAAGAAACTGCAGCAGACATAGGCCACTAAAACCAAGTATCTATCTCCTAACAAATATAATGGGAGTCCAAGCAAATTTACCGCCTTCATCATTCACTATGAACCACCACCAGTCCCCATCACCATGTATATATAGAAGTATGGGCACTTTTTGTTCAACTGCCTTGGTTGCCAGCATGTTTCCAGATTCAATTCAAGGTCTGGTAATTATTTATAAAGCTCTTAATGGGACCATCTCCCCCCAGTTGTATCTACCTGTCCTGTTACATGTAAACCTTGGGCTACAATGGTAAAAGCAACTGCGATTGTCATTGCTAAGGCTCAAAGTCACATGATGGCATCACTTAATGACATCAAAACCAGCAATCCCAGTTATTATCATAACCCCAGTAATGGGTTTATAATAGTTTGCACCTTGTTTTTAATCATTGTTGGCCATTCAGAGTCATGTATATATTTGAGATGGGTGATTATATCGAAGGAAGGAAGGGAGAGAGGAGAGGGGGGAGGAAGGAAGGAAGGACATTATTCCCCTGAGACTTGAGGACTTCTGCTCTGACCAAATGTATATGATTAACAGACTTATATACCACTCCATAGTGCTTTACAGCAGGGCTTTTCAACCCATGGTATGCGTACCACCAGTGGTACTTTAGCACCTGGCTGGTGGCACACGAGCCTAGCTAATTGTAGTGAGGGAGGGAACCAGTTAAAGCAGAGCCACACAGACCCGGAGGAGATCAGCTGAAGCTGCAGAGCTTGGCAGAATCCCTAGGATCTGCCACGTGGCGAATAATAATTGGAGCTTCCAGTGCACCCAGAAGAGAAAAGGAGGAGGAGGGTGGAGAGAAGAGAAGGTATAAAAGAAGCAGACTGAGAAGAGAAGAGACTTTTCTTTCTGAAGCAGTGAGGAAAGACAGAACGAGTGGCCTGTTTTTGGAGGAACAGCAAGCGAGGAAGAGTGAGTGAGCAAGTAGTGTGTTTTCGGGGAAAGGCTAGGAAGCAAATGGTGTGTTTAGCAAGCATGTGTTTTCAGACGAAGGTTGAGTTAGTGAGTGGCATGTTTAGCAAACACAAGTTTTCAGACGAAGGTTGAGTTAGTGAGTGGCGTGTTTAACAAGCACGTGTTTTCAGGCGAAGGTTGAGTTAGCGAGTGAGTGAGCTGGGCAGGAGCCTAGGAGCACAGCTACAGCTGAGCCACACTTCTGCTGAGCCCCAGAAGCGCGGATCAATTGTAGCCCAGCACTGATCCTGGGGCTTCACTTAGGAAGCAGCATGTTTTCCAGAAGTGCAAGCGAGCTGGGCAGGAGCCCAGATCAGTGTGTGAAGCTATGGCTGATCCGCATTTCTGCGGAGCAGCCCAGCACTGCTCCTGGGATCCTGCCCAGCTCACTTCCTTGCAGAAAACATGCTGCTTGCTAAGTGAAGCCCCAGGATCAGCGGATAAGGGTATTAGTTTTTTACACAGCTGATACAGCCACCCAGAAGCGCGGATAAGATGTAGCCTGGTGCTGATCCTGGGACTTCACTTAGCAAGCAGCATGTTTTCCAGCAAAGCTCAAGCAAATTCTTCAATGCAGTTTTGTGGGTGGGAACAGATGCTCCTATGTAGCTAGGCAGCCACATCAGTAAAAGGTCTGAAGAACAGAAGAAGAAGCTGGATCTGGCCTGCCTCCCCCAGGCAGGGAAAACAACGCTAAACTAGCATTATGGGTTGATAGAAACATGTTGCCAATCTGTCTCTTTTCCTATTGATCCTTGCCTTGCAACTTGCTGAAACAAAGCACTTTCTGTCCAACCCCTTCCACAATTACCCATGAATATGTAGGGTCATTCTGTTGGAAGGACCTGTTGTGGGATAATTTTCTACAACACTGCGGCAGATTTGAGCTCTGCCTGAATACATTGCAAGTCTCTTCCCCACTTTTAAAGCCAATTTTTCCTGTTAGCAGGAGATTTGACATCTATCATTCTCCAGAGTAAAATGTAACATGCATAGTTTTATAAAAGGCAAAATATCCATTAGCTCAACTTTAAGAGACATATATAGGCAGTCCACATGGTTCCAGGAAAGAACTTTTGGACCAACTTGTTAAAACCTCTCCTTGTGCAAAAGTTGCTCTTTCATTCTCTTACATTTTACTTGATATATGTGGAAGAGCTTTACAAAGTACTCCTGTCTTGGTAGGGCCACCTTTATAGCTGCCCTTCAGAGTATAAACAGTAACATGCCTATTGAAAAGATTGGTTTCCCTCCTGCCCACTCACAATAGTAACAACTTTTGGGGTGTCTTTCATGGGAGGTTGTAGTTCTTACACAGGCTGAGATTTCTTGCACCAGAATCTTGGCATACAGTTTTTGCAACTGTTCCTGTATCAAGAGATTTAGTCATTCCTTTATATTGGACTCAACACTGCTCATCTTAATTGTTACAATGGGGGGGAGAGAGGGGGGAGGGAGGGGGATAGAGAGAGAGGGAGAGGGAGGGAAAGGGAGAGGGAGGGAGGGAGAGAGAGAGAGAGAGAGAGAGAGAGAGAGTATTAGCCAAGCATTCCATGAAGGCATCTTTGCTCCAGAGACATTTTATAACAAAACATAAAGAGAGATGAATTTATAAAATGCTGTGCTGCTTTCATGAAGTCCACTAATATCTCTAAAAAATGTCTGGAAGCATCTTATGAATTGTTCTTGATAGCAGCTAAATGAAATAAGCCTCACACAATCATTGAAGAAGTCATGGTTCCCTCTGCCATTGAAATTGCTTCAATTCTCTTTGATGGAAAAATGGCTGATGCTATTCGTAATATTCCATGTTCTGATAACACCGTCCAAAGAC